CCCAAATCCCCCTAGGCCCTAAATCGTAAACCCTATAAGCCCTAAATCCCCTAAATGCCCCAAATCCCCCCAAGCCCTAAATCCTAAACCCCATAATCCCTAAATCCCCTAAATGCCCGAAATCCCCCCAAGCCGTAAATCCTAAACCCCATAAGCCCTAATTCCCTAAATGCCCCAAATCCCCCTAAGCCCTCAAACTCCGGAGATCTGTGCCAAGGCAGGCCCCAAGCTCCAAGAGAGCTGGCTGGACTTCAAGATGCCCAGTAGCCTGGGCAAAGGGTTCAGGGTTTGGGGTTTAGGCTTTAGGCTTTGGGCTTTGGAGTTGAGGGGGGTTGTAACAATACTCATCAGAATAATAGTAGGAATAATAATAACAGCCATGAATAATGATGATACTAATGATAGTAATAGTAATGATAATGGAGCAGTTCAGGGTTTAGGGCTTAGGGTTGGGGTTGAGGAGAGTTGTGGGTTGGGGTTTGGGATGTAGCGGTTGAGGATGTACAGGGGTTGAAGTTTGAGGGTTAGAAGTCAAGGCTTAGGGATGGAGGCTTTCATATAGACCTCATATGAGCTATAGTCTAAACTCCTCAAAGGGGATATGTAGGGAAGTCTTATAGGAGTCATTCAGGGGAGTACTAGAAGTTTAGACTATAGCTTATATAGCCCCATTGCTCGTATAAGAACACTGTATGAGCATTTTGTGGTACGCACATGGTAACTAGCTTGCCTGGAACTCATCTGGTTTAGGATTGGGATTGATTTGGGGATTTGGGTTTGGGGTTCACTCTTGCCCGCATGATGGTTGTTTCTGTGCTTTATCACTGACAGGGCGCCAAGGCACAACAGAACCTTCCCTAAAAGATGCTAGCCTTGGTAAAGTTCCGTTGCCTCCGGCAGAGCCCTTGAAGCAAGCTTGCAACAGAAGTACCATCTTAGACCTAACCTGAACTGGCAACAACAAGGAGAAATCCATGCGAAGGTTTATCCAAAAAGGGGATCATCAGGGGTTTCTGGGTGGCCCTGCTTCCGGCTAATGGGGATTCCTCCTGACTAGCTCCCATCTACCCCAAACCCTAAACTCAAAACCCGAAACCCGAAACGCAGTGCATCGCAAGTATCATACCCATTACACCCATTGTTATATTGAATCACATTTTTGATATTAGTGCCACTATAGTATCATTGCTGTTACTATTCTTATTACTCTTACTGTTCTTACTCCTGTTTCTGTTATCAGTAGTATCCGTATTCTTACTGACTATTATTGCTATCCTCATTTCGGTTCTTATTGCTATAAACCTAAATCCTAAATCCTAAACCCTAAACCCTAAGCCTTAAACCCTAGACCCTAAACCCTAGACCCTAAACCCTAAACCCTAAACCCTGTCCGAGGCAAGGCTGTTGCCCCAAAGGCCGACTGAGCGAGCTTCGACTCGGGGGCGCCCCCGGAGTCGAGCTTTCAGGTTTCACTGCGGTTCCTACGCGGTTCGGGGTGTAGAGTTTAGGGTTGAGGGTTGGGTTTAGGGCTAAGGGTTTTTGGTCCAGGGTGGCTGAAGGGGTTTAGGGTTTAGGGTTGAGGGTTTAGGGCGTAGGGTTTAGGGTAGTTGAAGGGTTCAGGGTTTAGGGCTTAGGGTTTCCTACACGACATGATCAATATCGTCAGACAATGATAATATTCACAGCAATAAGAATAACAATACGAGACATTTAAAGCAGTGGTAATACTGATAATGGAATACTAGCTTGGTTCGTAAATCCGCTCCCCCTAAAAGCCCCCCTCCCACCACATGTTCCCGTGAATATCTATCATTAGGGGGATAGGGGGTATTAGCGAGGTGATGACAAATTGGCAAGCTTCGCTATGTTTTTGTGGCGCTCTCAACTGAGTAATACAACTTACCAACTGTAAGCACTCAAATCCTGAATCCTAAACCCTAAACCCTAAACCCTAAACCCCTGAACCTTGAACCTGGAACCTGGTCTTAGTGGGGAACATGGACGTCAGTGTGGGGACCGTATGGTTTCCGATGGCATCCGTGCGGACGCGGTGCTTTTGCTTTTGAGCCCTGCTGGACAGGCTTGGGCCGTTCAGGGGTAACATTAAAAAGTTTGAAAGAAAAGCAAAAGCAACCACCATATCAACAAATGTCTTCTACATGTTATATACCTCTTCTTTTATTGTTCACACAAAGCAAAAGACATATTAACATCATGTTTTTCTGGGCGACTGAGGGGGCGTAGAATAATTGAGTTATAAGTTGGGTCCTGCCCCCACCCATTAACAGTCTATATTAGGGGTCATATTAAGAGCTATATATAACCCTATTATAAATTCTATCCAACTGTTAATGAGCGGGGGCAGTACCCAAGTCATAAGTGCAGTTATGACTGCTTATGGTTACCTTGAACATCTAAGGAGAGCCAGAAAGGTTTCAGTGGAACCCTAAACCCTAAACCCTAAACCCTAATAAGGTCAGGGCGTAATTTGATTCTTCATCTTCGAGGGCGGAGACCTATCATGATTGGTGCTGTAGTAGTGACAGTAAGTAACAAGGGTTATAGAGTCTTGGGGATATCTGAGGCGGATGGTTTATGGTAGTTCCAACAATGGAGAGACCCCAATATAGACCTCAAGATATCATAGTTCTTAGTAAGAGGAGCCGAAAAAAGGTCCCCCTAAGTTTGGGAAACCCGTAAAGGTTTAGGCAGGACAGCGCCTGGCAATGATTTTCCAGATCTTCGACGCTGGACGTCCCCATCTTGCAGACAACCTGCAAGAATCGCTTCTATCGAGTGTTTGGCTCGAAATGCTGAGAAGGTGTGTATTCATCTCCCTAAATGGAGATATACCGTCCCTATATAATACGTTCCCTTCTTCCCTATCAAGCCCCCGTACGATATACCGGATCTCATATTACGACATAGGGGCTCCCTAAACCCTGAAACCCTAACCTCTGAACCCAACAAAAAGATTTCACTCGCCTCTCCTCCCTCATTTGAGCCTTCCCAAGCCAAAGTCCGGGCCTAGGGTTTTGGAGAGTTGGGATTTGGGGATTTGTGAACGTAAGCCATATCTGGACTTGCCCGCATAGTGTATTCTTATCAGCGCTATTCCTGTATTTTCATTACATGATTATACCCTTGCTTCAAACTCTTGTACTCTTATTGCCAAAAGACAAATGATACCATCATGTTTCATTGCCATTGTTATCATTCCATCTTTTCTCGTGCTACTACCCAATAAAGACCAGGGTAGCCAGAGACATGCTGGGAATCGACATAGAGATGACAGCAGAAGCATGAGGTGGGAGAACTACGGCAGACTATCTGTTTATTGAACAAAGAATGGGTTTAAGGTGCAGCGCTTAGGGTGCAGCATTTTTTTTGATTATGGTACCTTCTACTTGCCGAAGACAATGTCGACCCTATCTGGCTTGCCAACTTTGGATTTCGCTCATGTGTTGCTGAAAGCTCGACGGCACGTCAGCTCTGATTTAATCAGCCTGTTTTAGTGTCCTCAAAGGATTTTTTGCAAAGG